TTGCTATTGCTATTGCTATTGTGTGTGCATGTATGAGACGAAGGAAATTCCTACTATTTGTAGGATTCCAGGGATGTGTAGTGACTAGAGGCAGGGGAGGCGGGGCCTCACCAGTCTCATAAGGAAAAGGAAAGAATTTTAAAGAACTTTTTAAAAATAATTAAAAAGGCCAAGGTAGTTGCTACCAGCCAGACTCCAAGTCGCAATGACTTTGAGTCTGCTTAGTGTTAACTGTAGGGGGAGGAGGTGAGAGAACTATGTGCCTCCTTTGCATACAATTTTTTTTGTTTTTTAACCCTTGCTTAACTCTTAAAAGATGAAAAATTCCTTATGCAAAGGAGACCCATAGTTCTCTTGCCTCCTCCCCCTACAGTTAACACTAAGCAGACTCAAAGTCACTGTGACTTGGAGTCTGCCTGGCAGCAACTACCTTGGCCTTTTTAATTATTTTAAAAAAATTCTTTAAAATTCTTTCCTTTTCCTTATGAGACTGGTGAGGCCCCGCCTCCCCTGCCTCCAGTAACTGCACGTCCCTGGTCACAATTGAGGTCATCTAAAACTTTTAAACAGAGATAAAACTAACTTACCGTAATATTGGTCCCAAGTCTAATAGTGCAGAGTACCAGATAATTGTTAAATGCAGTGGAATGCAGATAGTTTTAGTACATTGAAAGGTGAATCCTTAGCTTAAGACATGAAGACAAGCTATAATATTTTGGATTTAAACTTTCGATTCACTCAAATTTGAACACTTTGATTCACTCAATCTGCTTTTAATTTTCATTTTTTGGATACTGCTCTATGATCAGAATTATTATTTAGTTAATCTTCTAAATGTAAATTAGAGAGTGCTTTGGATGTATTTAATCACAAGAAAATACTCATACTAATGTTTACATTGTTTACACCAGGAGTGTCAAGCAGCCCATGGGCCAGATATGACCCGCGCAGGCCACACCCACCCTGGCTGCACAAGGACAAAAACAATCCTGATACGTTACAATATTGCCCACAATATGATTGGGTTTGACACCCCTAGGCTATTGCATATGAGACCCTCCCTCAGAAGGTTGGACTGGGAAAAATGATCTTTTTCATGGATCCATTTGTGTTATGGGGGACAAATGATTCTTTTGATAATGAATGATCAGATTTTTCATTTTTATTTGTCAGAGTGATTAATTGCCTAGATTAAACATTTGTTTCAAATGTTGTCCCTGTTCTTATAATTCATGACTATTCTTTTCTTGTAAATCAAGAAATTTACGTGAAATTTTCTTTCTTAGTCTCACATATCTCAGTATCCTGTGAAAAGCAAAGATATAGTTGGCACATTTTCTGACTTGCATAAAGCTATTGTCTAGCCCCATGAGTGCGTGCAGAGCCCTCTCTGTGGGCATGCGAGCTGTCACCCTAGCTCTATTGCGCCATGCATGTGTATGCCTCCCACAAGCCATCTGATTTTCGGGTCTCTGCCGCACATGCATGGGGGTGGAGCATATGTGGGAGATATGTGTGCATGCATAGGCATGCACATGCACAGGGGTGGGTTGTGCATGGGGGTCGTGCGCAGATGTATGGGGGTTTACACAGTTTTGGTATATCTCTTTGTTTAACCCATCCATGAAGCCATCCATTAATGCTTCTTCGGATCAACCCCTCATAAACACAGATAATTCACAAAATTATTGTATATATTCAGCAACTGGCCTCTTTCCCTGGGTGAGAGTTTTAAATTTAATTCTTCCTTTACGCTCCATAAGTGGATCATCAAAGTGCTTCCTCAGGGCGGCCATAAATCTATTATAGTCTCTCAATAGGGGGGAATCAGCATTATGCATGGCCACCATCCATGCAGCTGCCTTATTTTCCAATGC